ATACAAATCGATGGTTACAAATTACACAGGTTAGATCGACTTCACAAAGGAGGCGGCGGAGTAGGTGCCTATGTCCGCAAAGATCTCAAATCATCTGTACTGAAGGAGTTGTCATCGATATCCGAGCGAAATTTCCATCAGCTTTGGATAAATGTCCAGTGCAAGAAACTAAAATCAACTATAATTTGCGTGACATATCGCCCCGACGACTCTCCTCTGAGTTCCTTCGAAGAAGTACTTAAGCCCAGCTATATTCAAGCCTTGCTGTTTGACAAACCGATCACAATCATAGGCGATCTAAACTGCGATGGCCTCAAGAAAACAGGCCCTGAATTCAAAGCTCTGGAGAAATTCTATACGGATATGAACCTGAAACAACTCATTACAAAACCAACCAGGATAACAGCGACCACTCAATCCCTGCTCGACGTTATCCTAGTCTCCCCCAACAATTCAGTGCGTGATAGCGGTGTAATACATCGACCAATTAGTGACCATTCAATTGTCTTTGTCAAGCTCAAGGTTAAGAAACCCAAGACTACCCCTCAGTACATTACCACTCGAAGTTACAAGAAGTATAATGCGGATCTCTTTGTCATGGATCTAGCTAATGAAGCGGATTCCCTGCTCACTATCTTCGATCAAACCGATGTAGACTCTAAGCTCAATATTTTAAATGACACTTTGCAGTCTGTCCTGAGCTTACATGCCCCCGTGAAACAAATTAAACTTCGGAGCAGACCGTGCCCTTTTGTGAACCAGGAAATCAAGGATCTCATGAGATCGCGAGATCTCCTCCTGAAGCAATTCATACAGTCTCGCCAAGACACCGAGTGGATAAATTTCAAACATTCCCGTGACTTGGTCAAGAAAAAGCTACAAGAAGCTGAAAGAGATCACACCTTTGAAGAGGTCACAGCTAATAAAAACAACTCTGGCTCACTCTGGAAAATTATTAATCACGCCATCCCCTCCAAAGATAAGCAGAGACCAGCCTTTACAAAGGATGTGACAGTCTTAACCAACGAATTCAATCAGTTTTTTGCTAAAGTCAGCTTAAATGCCGCTGACGCAGTACAGCGCTTGAGGGAAGAACATAACATCATAGTCCGAGATTTTTCATCCGAAACTGGCATAGATACTTCCTCTATGGAATTATTCAATTTAAGGACAGTGTCACGTGAAGAGGTTCGCCGAATTGTAACATCTCTCCCAATGAATAAATCTCCGGGACCGGATAAGATCAGCGCTCGTGTACTAAAAGACTGTCTTCCTGTCATACTGGGCCCTCTTACTGACATCATCAATTGTTCTATCCTTACTAGCACATTTCCTGACAACTGGAAAGAGGCTGAGGTGATTCCGATTCTTAAAGACGGTGACCATGAAAAAGCTGCCAACAACAGACCGTTATCTCTGCTAGCCGTAGCTTCAAAGGTCCTCGAAAGGATTGTTTTGAATCAGTTCAGCGCCTATCTCACGAAAAACAACCGCCTTACCTCACACCAAAGCGGCAATAAAAAAGCTCATTCTACAGAGACCTTAAACATCCTGCTCACGGATAAGATACTCGAAGCAATGGATAAAAAGCAGATAACAGCACTAGTACTATTAGATCTATCCAAGGCCTTCGACAGTATAGACCATGCAAGGTTGCTCCACAAACTCTCCATCTTAGGAGCCTCACCCTCTACTGTCAAATGGTTCAAGAGCTACTTAACTGGTCGCAGGCAATACGTGAAAATTGGCTCCACCCACTCTGACACTCTACCTATAACTCACGGAGTTCCTCAAGGCGCAATCCTATCACCATTGTTGTTCTGCATTTACCTCAACGATTTACCCACGTCACCGACGTTTTGCAACCTAGAATCGTATGTGGATGACTCAAAGCTATTCATGTCATTTCCTCTCGTTGAGCTTGTTGCTGCCATTGAAAAGCTCGAACAAGACCTTCACAGTGTAGCTCAATGGTGCTGTGAGAACCATCTACTTATCAATCCCGATAAAACTAAACTCCTTTTCCTCGGTACTAGACAGATGTTAAGCAGGTTACTAGAAGACCCTGGAGTGGTATTGTTAGGTAAAACACTGAAGCCAACAGACTCTGCCAAGGACTTGGGAGTCTTTCTTGATCCCCATCTGACCTACGATCACCATATTTCATGTGTAGTGTCATCTTGTTTCGCAAAGCTTTGCCAAATAAATAGAGTCAAAAGGAGCTTCGACAAGGAAACACTAGAATTGTTAATAACATCATTAGTCTTTAGCAAGATGCTTTATTGCTCATCTGTATGGTCAAATACTACACTCCAGAATATAAACAGATTACAATCTATTCAGAATTTTGCCAGCAAGATCGTAACAAACTCTAGGAAGTTTGACCACGTAACACCTTTGCTTCGAGAGCTTAACTGGCTTCCTGTTAAAGAACAATTATTCTATAGAGACTCCGTTTTGACCTTTAAATGTCAGAACGATCTTGCGCCTCAATACTTAACGAGCAAGTTTACCAAGCGCTCAAATATACATACTCGTAACACTTGTACACGGAACTCTTTGCAGATTCCGCTATACAAAACGGCTATAGGCCAGCGCACATTTTCCTACAGAGGGGCCTACATATGGAATAACTTGCATAATGAACTTAGGCAAAGTGCCTCATTGGCATCTTTCAAGCGCGCCCTGAAAGACACACTATTGAGGCAGACATTTCCTTCATAAGCGTTAGATTTTAATAGAATACCTTCATAAATTGTGATTTCGAGTTTTTATTGTTATTTTTGCTTTTATAAATTGGAAATAGTTTGTAAATAGTTCCTGAAAAACCTCACGAGGATGTTACTATTAAAGTTATTATTATTATTATCTTCACAGCGGATAGTGCCTAGTTCCACACCTGCAAATGTTAAAATTGTAGATGGGCCAAATGTTTTTTCAGGTGCCATGGGAATGCCTAAAAAATCACATAATTCTAAGAAGAGTCCAAGGCTTCTTGAACACTGACTTTCTGTTGTCTGAATGAGGAGAAAATCATCTAGCAGGTGAATAAGGTTAGCTATACCGAGCTTATCCTGTGCAATCCACTCAACAACTGTACTAAAAGTTTCAAAGGTTTTACATGAGCTGGAGCACCCCTTAGGCATGCATTTATCATAATAAAAGTGACCACTCCACTTTATCCCTAAAAGATGGTAATCTTGAGGATTAATGAGTATAATCCTGAAAGCACTTTTAACATTCGGTTTTAGCCAAATAAGAACCGACACCTGACTGCTTTATCTTTGTAATAACGTGGTCAATATTATCATATTGAACACTGGAATGTTCATGGGATATTCCATCATTTACTGATTTACTCATGGGGTATGAAAGATGATGGATCAGACGAAATTCCTTTGGGGTTTTCTTTGGGGTTTTCTTTGGAACAATACCCATGGGTGACACTCTGAAAACAGGAAAGGATGGTGTATCAAAAGGTCCAGCCAACCTATGGGTTTCCAGCTCCTTAGCTAATTTTTGATGAACTACTTGGGGCCATTGTGGTGTGGATAACAAATTAGGAGATTCAGAAGATCTACTTTGACCAACAGAAAAGAGATGAAATCCATACTTAAAGCCATCAATTAAAAACATTCGCTTTTGAAAGTTGTACCCTTCTAGCAGAACCCAAGTCGGTTTACCTTTACTGGAGTTGGGAGGGGTAGGATTGGCAGCAACAGGTTTTCCATTGAAGTTACGAAAATTATGGCAATTTATCATTTGATGGGTCTTTTGACATAATGGGCATGTATGCTTAACATTACATCCAACACATTTTAAACCTTTATGATACTTCCAGCAATAACCTTTGGGAACTCGAAAGCCTGACTTCGATTCACCCTCAAATCTCTTTATCTGTGAATAATCTAATCGACAACTCCCAATGCACTGCACCCCAATAATATGCTTAGGGGTCTTTTTGTCGGAGATATAAAAAGTTCTAATCATAATATCGCCAGTTATATCCTCTTGCTGCCAAATCCCTAATAATTTCACTATACTTAATTAAAAAGGGGGCTTCAGTAGGATATCTCTGTGTATAGACACCCAAAAAGATTTGGCAGGCTGTGACCCACATTTCAATTGAATTGATATGTTTTGACTTTTGCTTTGGCTCCAATGTGATGCGTCGTTGGTTATTTGATGATGCCATGTCATTTGAAAGGCATAGATTGAAACTATCATGGTCTTTCTTGTTATTTAAGAGCAATCCAAAATCGACATATTCATGGGCCCATATTTTTCTTTTTAGCCTATGAAAAACTGACATGTCAATGGGAATGTCTGACGACACAAAAATATCTTTTGGGTTAGTTATTAAACTGGTGCTTCCTGACAAGCTATCCAACACAGTCGCGATCGATCCCTGTACAGTTGCGGCTGCTGAGCTACAACCAGTTGCAAAAGTACTTGAGACACTGTACCGTATTTTGCCATAAATGGCCTGTCCATGATCTTGTGCTTGTGATCCCCCCTCCACCCCTTATCAAAGTTGCTAGCAATACAAGACCATACTCAAAACTTGGAGGAACAACTTTGAATGGGAGGGAGGAGGGAGGTCAGTATTATATTTTACAGACCTGTGACCAGGAGCGATTTGAAGCAAGAAAGGTCGTTTTTCCGTGGGAGTGTCTCATTTTTGCAACTGGTTGTAGCCTGATCTGAACTATTTAAAATTTCAGAAGTATTAACCGAGAGCCACTTAACTCATGTATGACTGGTTCAGCGACAACTGACCCCTGTACAGTTGAGGCTGTTCCAGGCAATGAAACATTTCCAGTACCTACATTAGTATTGAATCGTGTATTTTGTAATTTTTGTAAAACTGCATTTGTCACCCTCTCAATCAAGTTATCAATGCCAGCATACGGAGGACTTGCCGGGCCTGGGACCTGATCTGCTTGTTCTTCATTCTCCTCCACCCGTCTATGGCGACTAGCTGGCTGTTGCTCAGACTCTTACAAGATAGTAGTTTTTCTCTTCACTTTAGCTGATACCCGTCGAGACATCCTGAAACGTAAAATAACTCAACACCAGTATTCATGTAAGCTAGAAACATATAGCAAGCTTTTCCATTGCTAACAAGGTCATTATGCCCATAAAGAACCAACCCAGATTATATAAATTTCAGCAAATGCCCAATGACACAAGTAAATTGAATGCCCATAGGCTTGATATGATTAACAAAACAACATTCAACAACAACGTTGATCAAGGAGTTTAATTATCAAATTTGCTCCGTCTAAATGACTGAAGAAGATCTCAACATGATCAAGAACAACAACTTCGAGATAACCATGGCATAACCGCCGATTTCACATATATCCAAAAATATATAACATGCCTGTTTTTATAGTACCATAAAGAAAACCTTCCAACAACCTCTGGTTGGAAAACCTATATAATACCACACCTCTAGCTTGGTCAAAAAACCATGCACTGCATGGTACAAACCCAAAATTAAACAATGTAACAGGACATCACAACATGAACTTATACGTGAACTATGGCAGGGATAGCTTGGCAGACTACACATGTCGCCAGAACATATAAAATGCCTGTCCCTATAAATGCCATAAACACATTCCAACAACCTCTGGTTGGACAAAAGCAAAAAGACCAGACCTGTAGCTTGGTCAAAAAACCATGCACTGCATTGTACAAACTCAAATTTACAGAATAAACAGTACTTCACAACATGAACATGTACATGAACTATGGCAGGGATGGCTTGGCAGACTGCTGTGTAGTTTTATATTTTGACGAAATAAAGACATTATTATTAGTAGTAGTAGTAGTAGTAGTAGTAGTAGTAGTAGTAGTAGTAGTATTACACATGTCGCCGAAACATAAAAATGCCTGTCCCTATAATGCCACAAAAACCTTCCGACAACCTCTGGTTGGACAAAAACAGAAAGACCAAAACCATAGGTTAGTCACAAATCCATGCACAGCATGACACAAACACATAATTAAATGACAAAACAGGACGTGATATGCTTCACAAGAGCAACTTTGGTTTTCTTTCCTTTATTAAGCTAAAACAATATGACAAGTTACTTTCTTAAAGGAAGGTTCCCATCATATATAAAGCGTACATCTCAGATTTGAACACCTTTCATTAACTTGTAATAGATTTACTTTTAGCTTTCTCTTTTACCAGCTTACTTTTGTTTGTAAAATGTAAACCTGTTCAAAAAAAGCTGTGAAATTAATAGAGATCGATTCAAAGATCAAAAGAGTTTTTTGTTTTAATGTTTGGTTTGCTCTTAACATATGTTGACATCACATTTACAGAAGACTTAAGATGAATCAAGTCGTGTGTTGAAGTGTATTAAATAACAGGCTAGGGCTGATTTATCAGAAGTGAAATAAAAAGATGAAGTGATGATGATAATCAGTACTAACCACTTGCGATAGATCAGCTGTCGTAACACAGTCAAACCCTTCTATACAAACACCTCATTTTTACGGTCATTTTGTTGCGTGGTTACTAAAACAAGGAATGACCTACAATGATCTACAATGACCTACAATGAGCTACTATGACCGAACGTGTAATCCCTGTAATGAGCTAAAATGAAAATTTTAGAAAAAGACAAAAAAAAAGATCAGGAGACATGTCTCCGTAAACGTAACGCGTTTAGTCTACTGCATGACAGCCCATTTAACGGTGACAGCATCTCTAATTATTACGCTTGGAGATAAATTTACAGTGTAATAATACATGTATGATGATACTGTGACTTTTGTCCAAACCATCCCTTGCAACCTTTTGCATTAGTTTTATTTTGTCTTGTCTTTTTGTCAAACAAATTGAACAAACACAGTCACCCCAACAGTCGATCCGGGGGGATCTTTAAGGGACGTAAGGGTAGAGATGAACAAAGGAGGCCTTCAAATTCTGACCCTGTTTAAAAGAAAAATTGTTCATATTTTTAAGTACCATGGCCTGTATAAAACATCATAAGACCCTTTAAATGGCTTTCAGTCCAACAGGATGCTCTGTTTGTAACGCTAAATAGTAAAATCCATATCCTGCTCAGAGGCCCATACTAAGGGAGTGCCTGCATGACTTCCGTCAATACAGGGTATAATAGTGCTATACCGGTAAAAACGCGATTGTAATAATCTATTTTCAACTTTCTCAAGTTACCTGAGATCAGGCACAATTTTTGTTTGCTTTTTCAAAATGTGCTTGGCAATTTAATACTATAAGCCTAGTGTCACGTCCAAGCGTGACACACGACAAACATCATTGTCTGTCATTTTGTAGCTCATTGTAGGGCTTATTTTAACTTATTTTAGCTCGTAGTAACTCATTGTAGCTCGTAGTAGGTCATCGTAGATCATTGTAGGTCATTGTAGGTCATTGTAGATTATTCCTTGTTTTAGTAACTACGACACACGTCCCCTGATCTTCTTTTTTGGTCTTTTTCTAAAATCTTCATTTTAGCTTACAGGGATTACACGTTCGGTGATAGTAGCTCATTGTAGGTCATTGTAGGTCATTCCTTGTTTTAGTAACTACGCATTTTGCTGACCCAAGGGAAGCAAAATTGGCTAACATTATTTTTCTCTAAATTCAACCTTTCTAATACAACACCCTGACACTTTCTACTTGCCCCTCGGTGTATACATTAAAAGGGTTTGACTGTTATAGTCACTAATGCTTCGACAATAAACTTCCTCTTTGTGATTATTTTAAGTTTGGTTTAAGGTGGTTGGTGTCCTCTTTTATACACTTCGTTCTAAGTTTAAGAGAAGTTCCTTAAATGTATATAAGAGCAATTTACACCAGTGAAATAGAACACAAACACACAAAAATGAAGAAATTCCAGAAATGACTGAACTGGGTGAAGTATACTCGCGTCCGGTAGTTCATGCAAGACGAACTTTTATTGCAAGCCTCCAAAAAACATGCTATTTTGCAAGCGGGACATCCGAAATAAGCTTACACAAAGTGTCATCCTAAAACGTAACTTATGTAACAAAACAACTGCAAAATTATATAACAAGCAAATCTACGTCATCCCCCTTGTTGATAAAAAGGCAGAGTTCCTGTTAAGATGAAAAATATTAGTTCTCAATTACAGTAACGACTGGGGATGAAGGATACACTAAGATCCTATTTTGTATAACGAAATAAAAACTGCAATGGTTAAACAGTAATTGGCAATTACTAAGGATTGATATCAAGCACTGTTTTAAACTAGAAATGTTTTTACAAAAACTCAGATTCATTACCGATTTTGCACTGGTCATCGTCACATCCTTTATTAGTCACTTATGGTTAAAAAGTCACTTTCGAGGTTTTATTCATATCCATATTTCGCTGGTGCTTTAATGATACGCCTTGGTCAGGATGTTCTGACGCTGTCTGTTGGATTGTCAAGTTTCTGTTGTATTGGGGTCTCTGGCCTCGGCTTTGGTGGGTTAGCCGTAACCTTGGTGTCTGGCATTTCCACTGGAACTGATGCACCTTCTTCCCTCCGAGGAAGCTTTTGCAGTAGGTAGAGTGGGGTCATACCCAGGGATTGGCTTGATATGGACCCGGTCTCTGGAATATTGTGTTCTGGTTGTGTCGTCTTCCACGGTCTATGATCGTTGTCCGTCCACTGAAATGACCGTTCCACTTGACTATCGGGCCTTCTTTGCCTGAGGTTTCTTCATAAACATGATTGTTTGGTGTTGCTCCAGCCTTGGTGGTTGACCTCTGTTTTCGCTTTCATTGTTCTCTCTGCGTGCTTCACACTTCTGTGGCCTGCATTGGTGCTGTTGGTGCTGTCGAACAGGCTAAGTGGTATTGATGGTAGGTCTGATTTGACCCTCCTGTGAAACATCAGCTCATAGGGTGAAGGGGTGTTGGCGTCTAATGGTGTGTCCCGGATGTTCAGAAGCATGTCTTCTATTGGCGTTTCTTCTTCCTTGGGCTTCTCAAGCAACCTTTTGGGCCTACCAATGGCATTTTCTCAGCGGCTGTTCTTCCACTGAGGGTGAGGGGACCCTGGCTTGTGGACGATGTTGAATTTCTAACAGAGTTCTTGCAAGTCGCTGGAAGTGTACTGAGAGCCTCGATTGGTCACTACCTCCATAGGCTAACCAAACTGGTTGCAGACACTCTGGAAATGTTGGATCACTGTATCTGCTTCTTGGTTCTTGATTGGCTTCACCCACGGGTACCTTGTGTGGTAGTCGACAATGCAACTGTACTATCGACCAGCATGCTGAAAAATGTCGCAACCCAGAATGTGCCTGGCATTGGTTGTGGTCACAGGGATAACTGCTGCTTGTTTCTGTCTGGGTTGGTGTGGGCAGGTCAGAATAAGTCTCCTGATCTGTTCCGACATGCCAGGCCAGAACCACTTGTCTCTGGCTCTTTGAATAGGACTCGGTATTGATGGACCCGGTGCAGCTTTCGGAGTAAACACTCACCCATTTTCTGTGGCACCAGGATCCTTTGGCTCTTCACAATGATCCCATCGATGACTGCAATGTCGTGTCTGTAATCCCAGTAAGCTATGGCCAACTCGGGCACTTGATTGCAGTGTTCTGGTCATCCTTCCTGACATAGGTGCTCTAGCTCCTGGAAGACTGGATCTTTCTTTTGAGTTAATCGGATCCTCTGTATGTCAGATTCATTTGCCACAGCGACCTCAAATATCTCAATTTGGTTGGTCTCTGGGAATACTGGTCCTTGGTTGGGTGCTGGTAGCGGCACACACCTTGAGAGGCAGTTGGATATGTGCATCTCAACACCCTTCTTGTATTTGATTGTGAAATCGTAGCCTTGACCTAGCAGCAAAAGTCGTTGCAGCCGGGTGGTCGAGTCTCTTATGTCTTTCTTAATGATCTGTTGTAATGGACTGTGGTCACTGACTATCTTGAATCTTCGTCCATACATGTACTGTCGGTAATGATTGACTGCCCAGGCGACAGCAAGCAGCTCGCGTTCCAGGTTACAGTATCTCGTTTCTGCATCAATCAAGCTTCTAGATGAGAAATTGACTGGCTTGCCATCCTTGAGTATACATGCACCCAGGCCCTTTTGGCTGGAATCACACTCGATAACGATTTCTTTCTGTGGGTCAAAGTACTGCAATATCATGTTGTCTCTGACCTGTCTCTCTTCCCACACAAATTCTACATTCTTCTTTACCAGAGCACGGAGGTCCTGCGTCTTGTCAGCCAGGTTGGGTATCAACTTTCCCAGGTATTTGAACATTCCTAGCAGTGACTGTAGCTCCTGCTTGTTCCTTGGCACAGCCAACCGCTTTATCCCTTGGATCTTCTTTGCGTCTGGTTTTAATCCCTCCTTCATCAGGGTATGGCCGAAATAATTGATCTCCTCTAGTAGGATCTTTGCTTACTTTGGATTGAGCCTGAAGCCTGAGTCTCGACATCGTTGGATGATCCTGTTTACTGCCAAATCGTGTTCCTGCTTTGTCCTTGCAGCAATTAGTACATCATCTGCAATGTATTAGACATCAGGGATGTCACTGAATGTCTCATTGGCGGCACTTTGGAATACGTCTTGGCTACTCACGAGCCCAAATGGAAGCCTTTTGTATGCATTTTGTCCAAATGGCGTGTTGTGAGTAGGTGTATGCTGTCTGGATGTACTTCGATATTCCAATAGCCTGACGATTGGTCAAGGGTGGAGAAATACTTGCAACCGTGTAGTTTCTGTAATATATCCATTTTTGGTGCATAATGGTGAGGCCTCTTCACTGCCTTGTTGAGTGGCTTTGGATCTAGGCATATCCGGATGTCTTCATTGGGCTTGGGTGTGCACAGTACATTGCTTACCTACCCATGGTGTTGCGTCTTCTTACTTTTTGATGACACCAATGCCCACCATCCAGTCTAAGTTCTTCTTCAGAGGCTCCTGCATTGGTGGAGGTACACTGTATCTGCGGCTGACCATTGGTTTGACTTTTTCATCTATCTCGATCCGGTATTGGTAGCCTTTTAGTTTCCAACACCTTCAAACACGTGACTGACATCCTTTGGGACTTCGGTTGTATCCCTGATTTCAATGGGCTTCCTCACCTTGAGAGAGTACTTGGGTTTTGCTGGGTCTTGGTCTGGTGCTGGAGTAACTTCTGTTTCCTCCTCAGTACCACCTCTGACCTCACTCGCATCATAGGGGCCATGGCAGTCCTTGCAGTCGGTCTCCTCCTCACACATAATCTTGCACAGGTGAATTTTAGTGAGAACAAGTTACTGCCATAGAATTCAGCGCGTTGGCCAACGACACTATTGTGGCAAACACAGTCAATACGGAATTTTCCGTGGTTCCTGAAGCGCTTTCCTCCATAGCCTGTGAGTTTCACTTGACTGTTGTGCAAAATTCTCTCTACATCGTGGCCAAAGATTTCTCGGCATGTCATATAATTCATCAAGTTCACCTGAGCTCCAGTGTTGACCTTGCCCTTGAGCTTCTTTGTACTCCCGTCTGGTAATTCAAGCTCAACAGTGGCATACAATACATCAGGTGATTGGTCCTTGTCTAGATAGGCCTTGGTTACATGTTTGGGCAGTTTCTTGCCGAAATCCGTCTTGGTAGACTTGGTTTCTTCAGCCCTTGCTTCTATAGAGTCAACTTGCACTGTGACCTCGTCAGTGTCATACTCTGAGAAGTCTGCTTCGCTACCCCCTGAGTCTGCAGTTGCTTCGTGAAACTTCTTTTTGAGTCTGGGTATTTGTTTCTGCTGGCTAGATTGCTTGCTGGAAGGATCGGCTTTTGCCTTGCTACGGCACTGCTCAGCAAAGTGGTCCTTTTTTATTGCATTTACTGCATTCTTTCCCGTAGGCAGGGCACTGTTTGGGACCGTGTTTGCGTCTGCTTCTTTTGCAGGCGTACTGATTTTTGGTGCGTCCATCCCTGGAAGCGTTGGACTTTTTGCTGAAGGGCTTCTTTTGTTGTCTGAGCTCTTCTGCGCTTTTAGTTTCTCCCAAGTTCTGATCCCTCGAATCTTTTCCACTTTCCGTATGTGCATCTGAGCTTGTTCCTCAGCTCCAGCGCTGTCCAGAACACGGCCAGCGTCTGCTTCTTTTTGTAGTGCATAGACTTTCTCTATAATTTTCGTGTTTTTCAAGCCTTTTTTGAGGGTTTACGCCTCTAGGAATTTTTGTATCGCGGTATCGTACTTCCGCTGGTGGGGGACATCACGTATCCAACAGTAGAAAATGTCCACTGACTCTCCTTTCTCCTGTTTCATGAACTTCAGTGTCATTCTCGGGGCGTTCCACAATCCTTGGCAACCTTTCTTCTTGGAACACAAATTGTCAAAGAAGTTCCACAGCGGGGTGAGTTTTTCCTTGTCTCTGCATGGGAATGGGTGTAGCTCGTGTTTGACGCATGCTTCAGGCCCCATCCACATTAGCACTTTGATTACTTTAACACTGTCCTCAAGCCTGTCGTACCATTCTAAAACATTCTTTGCAAAGGTCTTGAAGCACAAATATTCGTGGTGTAGCTTTTTGGAAGTGAAGTCCAACCTCTTGGGCATTTCAACTCCATGTAGCCTTGCTTTAGCAGCTTGCTCGATTGCAGCTTGTTGCCCCCTCCTCTCGTTGTCGGTTTCTGGGATGGTGACTGAATTGCTTGTGTGAGATCAGCTACCGCGATTGATCGGGGGGTTTTTTTGCTCATTTTCCCATATTTCTCTGACTGCATTGTCTGTTCCGGGACTCTACTGGGCTGGATTGACGTTCTAAATAAGTGGATGAGCAATCTCGACTCGTACACCTGTGTTGGGATGGCTTCAGTAAAGAAAATTTGTGGCACTTTCCAAAATCCAAGATGGCGGACGGCGTAGTTTTCTATTATTGCTCACCGTGTCCCTTCGAATCTTTTTCCTGGAGTATCCGCGAAGGCTCCAAACTGTTTCTTCGAGTTCCTTGGTCTGCGTATAGGTCACATTGGGGACACCATGAAGTCTACTCAAGTCCGGTAGTTCATGCAAGACGAACTTTTATTGTGAGCCTCCAAAAAACGTGCTATTTCGCAAGTGGGACATCCGAAGTAAGCTTACACAAAGTGTCATCCTAAAACGTAACTTATGTAACAAAACAACTGTAAAATTATATAATGAACAAATCTATGTCACTGGGTGTTTTTGTGTAGAAGTTGTACAAAACTCATGTAGGCAAAAAGAAACATATATATACTCCTTCCATGAAGCTCCTTCAGAGGACTGTACTCTTGTGAACCTTTCATACTGATAATCCATATCATCATCATCATCATCGTTATCATTATCAACGACATCTTTCAACCATTTTACTTTTAACCTCTTGTTGTTCTGAACTTTAAGTTGTTTGTTTCTTTTGGGCATTAGCCAGATCTAACAATAAAAAGGGAGGAATTAATACTAACATTATTGTACACCAAACAAGAATTTATCAGTGTGTTTCATTCTCCTGCCTCCTCATGGTGGGGATGACGATGAGGATGATGATTGCGATGATGATGATAATCGTGATGGCTGCTGGCAGCACTGCTGATGGTGATGCTCATGTCAGACAGAGCTGTTCTGAGATATTTGACAATTGACAGTTTTGTAAGTTGGGCTCTTACACGAAACTTTCAATTGCTTGTCTTGACAATATGTACAGGTAATCACGTGATTTCGAGTGCAATTTAGAATAGATAAGCAGGAGTAAATTTTTTCAAAGGCTAACAAACTTGCAGGAGTGCTTATTAAATATTCCAAATTGCACGAGAAAGATCATGTGATTACTTAAATAATATTCATGAAAAAATTGCGAGATAGATAGAGAGTCAACATGCATAAACTATGTACGAAAATAATTTGTTCAAATGCTACAAATATCATCACATGTGCAGTCAAAACAACATTTTTCTCAATGTTTTTAAAGTTTGCAAGCCACAGAAATGGGCTGAACAGTTCATGGAATTGCTCAATCTGTTTGAATTAAAGATTCTGGGTTCCAGAGAATTTCTTCTTCCTCCTCTGATACTTGCAGAGCTTTGCTTGGGCGCTTACCATGCACGGCCAGCCAAGCGAAGCTGTTTCTCTTTGTACACCAACACCTCTTTGGGCGAACTAAATTCTCAGTCACGTACAATGGACAGGGTGCAGCCTTTGTTCTTTGAGTGTCTATCAATCAGTGCCATCATTTCTTGAAGGCTTTCTGGTTCTTTAGCTTCACCTTTTTCATTGTTTACTTTGGTGTAGAAATGCTCGAGCAAAGTGTTAAGGTCAGCGAGCTCATAATTTTCTATTTCATCAGTAATTTTCTTCTCTACGCACCAATTCTTCCAAAAAGAGAGCCAAAAACCAGTGCTTTTTGCAGTGTTTTCGTTTTAGAGCAGTTTTCAGCTCCTTTAGAGTTTCAGTCGCAAAAGCAAATGTGCTAGAAACGCAAACCATTGCGGTTTTTGCTCAAAACTGGTCCAGAGTGGATCCAAATTTTGCGCCATTTAGATGGCTCATTTGAGTGGCTCTCAGCGAGTTCCTTTGTTTATTAACCAATCAGAATGTCATGGTTATTACTCTTTTCTGCACTAAATTACCTTTTTTTCTGCACCGTGTTACCTAAAAACTGCATTTCTCCTAGCCATTCACAATTAAGAGATTTTTTCATGTATATTATTAGTCCGCAAATGATTCCTTGTAATGATTTTCATATATGATTTGTATTCTCGTAAAACAATGTTAAAAAATCCCTTTATGATTATGGTGGCTTAATTTTTTGTGACCTTCCCTTTTTTCTTGTCATTTGTTTCAAAACCCTCCCTTTTGAAAGGCTCAAGAATCTGTGACCCTCCCCTGTTTTCCACCTCCCCTCCCCCTGCAAATTTATGACAAGTCCTTTACCAGTAGCATTTCTTAAATTTTGATTGGTTGAGTAATGTAAATAAAAGCAGGTGTTAAATGCAACGTTTTTAGTCTAGATAAGGAGGCTGCTTAGAAAAAATAAAATTGATATTCAAAAAATAATCCAAGCATATAATATAAAAGCACGAGCTCGGTCGAGTTAAATAACTTGTTAAAAAAGGATAAAAAAAAAAACGTTGTAAAAAGAGTTTAATGAGTATAAACAGCAACAAGAAAAACAAAAACTGATTGATGAAATTACGGGAATAGAAAAACAAAGGAAAAACATTTCAAAAGCAAAATCTACTCCCAAACCAAAACAAAGAAATAAGAACATTTGATGATTATTATTCCAAGACACACCAGCTTACCTCAAAAAAGCTCCCTTGAAAGAGCAATGAGAGAATATGAAGTTGGAATCAAACGTGAAAAGTCAGCTCTTGATAATTTTGCTGAAAAATATATAATTGATGAAAAACTAGAAATTATTCCAATTGATTACTTTGGGGAAAAAGCTCCACAATTAAAAGAATTTTTTAGAAATCAGAAATATTAAAGTTAATAATGGTTTGTTTAATGGAGCAGCAAACTATTGGAGGAACGAATACAATTATAACACAAGGTAAAGCTTATTTTCAATCTCAAACTTAAATCAATCTTGAAGCAACAAATATTAAGAAAATGCTGTTTGGAATGATTTATGAGATTCTTGAAGGAATTATAAATTACTATCAAAAGAAATGGTTCTGGTTGATATTTTAAAGTGGTTTTATCATTGGAAATTCACACAGGAGACTACGAACCTTTAAAAGGCTCGTCTTATATCCCTCTTATAATGAGAAAAAAGGCAATTCTTAATATAGAAAACAAAGATAATAATAACTGTTTTATGTGAGCAATACTAAGATTTCGTCGTCCAATTAACCTTGACAGCACAAGGATAAATGATCTCAAGCAATATGAGAATCATCTTAATTTTAAAGGTATTGATTTTCCAGTAAAAGTCAAAGATATAACAAAGTCTGAAAAACAAAATTCAAATATTCCAAAAGTAAATGTATTGTTAATGAAGAAAATAAAATCTACCCATTAAGAAAAAATGAAACAGATTGCCAGAACACTATTGATTTATTTTTGTTTGAAAAAGATGGAAAGTCTCACTATGGACTTAACAAAAATTTTTCAAGATTAGTAAGTTCTCATGTGAGTAAAGATACCAATCCAAAAAAATACTTTTACAAGAAATGTCTTTCACATTTTGTGAAAGAGGAATTATTTGAAAAACACATTACATATTGTTGCGTTAATTAAACAGTAGCTGTCAAAATGCCGCTTAAAACCTGATCACTTTTTTTCAATAATCATTACAGGAAACTTCCAATTCCTTTTGTAGTATATGCAGATTTTAAATGTTTGACAAAACCAATTGACAATTGCGAACCAGATTCAAACTATTCTTTTGCTATGGAGTATCATAAACGTGAACCTTCAGGATTTTGTTTGTATCTTAAAGGATTGGATGGAATAAAAACTTATTTGAATTTGCAAGACTACAATCCACTATCCAATGACACCCTGGTCTTATGCGAGGACGACGAGCTTATTTCAGTGACAACTGACTCTGTTGCAGCTCGCCTAAGCAATATCAGTACGTGTGGAACAGGGGGCCTGACGACCTGCCAAACTGGGTGCTGAAAAAGTTCTCTGACATACCAGCTCCAGCTTTAACTGAGGTGTTAAATCAGTCATTTCAAGAATCTAAAGTCCAACGTACATGGAAGATAGCGGATGTTCCACCTGTTCCCAACGGCCTCTATTGAAGACTTTAACAAGGACATGAGACCCATATCCCTAACATTTACGATTGTCCAAAGTATCGGAGGGGTTTGTTATCAACCGAGAACTAAAACCCTTGATGTTCGAGTGTATAGACCGAAACCAGTTTGGTTTTATACCAGATTCCTGCACTACGTTCGCACTCATCTCCATGCTACATCACTGGTTCGAAGCCACTGACAGGACTGGCGCCCATGTTAGGGCAGCACTCCTGGACTAGAAGAAAGCCTTTGATCTTGTTGACCACAACTTGCTGATCGCCAAACTCTATAGTCTAGGAGTAAAACCCACCATTGTCAACTGGGTGGCGGACTTTTTACGAGACAGATATCAACGTGTCAAACTTAATTCTGATTGTTTCTCAGATTTTAAACCAGTCCCGGCTGGAATTCCACAGGGAACCCGGATTGGCCCGTGGCTCTTTTCGGTTATGATCAATGACGTTAGTAACACCCTCTCTTCCATACGGAAATTCGCGGAAGACAACACGGTCTCGGAAATTCTTCCTAAGTTTGGTGCATCAATGCTCCAAAATACAATACATGATGTCCTTGGTTGGTCTAACGACAATAGATTCAAAGTGAACTCACTTAAGTGCAAGGAACTCAGAATAGACTTTCGAAGGGAAAGTAACTTGGACACTGATTCTCTCAAGGCTAATGGTATTGCTTTTGAAATTGCGAAATCAGCTAAAATATTAGGCCTCACTGTAAGGAATGACCTTAAATGGAAGGATCACCTCGATAATGTTACTGCGAAAGCATCTTGACAAATGTATTTGCAAAGCAACTTAAGCGCGCTGGCATTGACCGTGTTGTAACGTATTCCCTAAGATGGACGACGGAACACCAGAGCACTTAGACACAACGTTTTTAATCTTATAAGCCAAGGGTACATCAACAAGCGACGAGCGCAAAAACATGCGAGATCCCAGATTAAACTTAACTGTATAAATTAACTTGACATGCATAAATTAACATCGTTACGTCTCCCTTCGTTGTTTGAAAGACGAAAGAGTAAAGAAAAAGAAAGGTGAATTGTTTCCTATAGTGATTGTTCGAAGAACATAAATGAAAAGTGTCAGCATGCATAGTCATTGAGGTATGCTGGTCTTCGTAGGAGTCTTCCCCAGGTGCTGCATCTTTCAGGACTTGATATGTCATCAGGTGGAGGGCCTGGAGCTGCTTGTGGCTTGACCACCTCTCGGGGCATTGATTCAGCTAATGGTGGTACTTGTTCAGCTTTGGTCAAGGGCAGGGGACCAGGATCGGAGCTAGATACCTCAATGTCAGGAGGTGATTGTTTTGGAACTTCAGCTGTGAGGCGCAGGTGTTGGCGGTTCCTGCGATACACCCTTCCGTCATCACTAGTTACTTGGTAGGAACGTACACCAACTTGTTTGTCAACCATTGCTTGGGTCCATTGATGACTATACTTGGGTGGATGGATACGAACGGTGCTTCCTGGTTCAAGTGGCCGGAGTTCTTTAGTGCCATTGTTGTAATATGAGGCTTGTTTGTTCTTCTGAGCATGAAGAAGCTGGGAAGTGGTGTGAAATTCAGGTTGTTAGTAGTCTGCCAGCGGTAGGCAGGAGTGTTTTGGTACAGCTGCCAAAGAGACACTGAGCTGGAGATGTTCCTAGTCCTTCAGTGGGGGTG